TGTTCTAGTCGTGTTGGCATCTGCCAGCAAGGTTGGAAGGGTAGATGAAGATGGCAACTCCACATGCATCCAAAATTAAAAGAGATGAAGAATAAAGGAAAGTTTATCTTTAGTAAAAAGAAAAATCGGGTGCTGTACTAGAAGCTCAAATCTCTGCGTCAGAGAGCACTTTTGCGTGTGATTTTAATAAACTTTGCTGTGTCTCTTCTCACCGACGTCATCCGCCAAGCTGGCTCCCAGCTCCATCCTGCAGCAACACCGACAGCCGAACATGCGCAGCACCTTATCATAGTCTCCTTCTCCGTGCAGCAGTACCTCGGCGTGCGTTGCCGCGCCCTCTCTAGTCTCCGACCATGGACCACCAGTGGACATCGCAGGCACCGTCGCCCGAAAAATCCTGCGAGCTCTACATCCGCGACCATCCGTCCCGCGCCATCGCCATCGTCTCGTCGACGCACGCCCTCATCCTGCGGTACAGCGCCTCGGCCAGCGACATCATCCCTAATGGCTCCTACACGTCGCTGCCGGTCACCAACAAGGCCTCTGTCTCCAAGTGCATGGTCGAGTTTGCGCCCATTACCAAGACGCTCCTGAAGGACTATCGCCCCCTCACCCACCGGCCTATCTACGGCACCCTCGGCCTGATTACCGCGAATAACGAGGTCTTCCTGTCCGTCATCACCCACGCGACTCGCACGGCGACTGTTCGTCCCGGCGAAACGGTCGAAAAGATTGTCAGCGTGGCATTTTACTGCCTCAGCACCGACGAGTACGACGATGTGGTGCCTCTCGAATCCTACGAAACCGAATCATCCGATGCCTCCTCGGTGTATAGCACCCAGTCCTATGGTCAGAGCCTCAGCCACCGTGATTTGGTTGTCGAGCATCCTTGCCATGAGCTGCGCAAGATTTTAAGCAACGGCTCGTTCTACTACAGCACCGATTTCGACGTGACGAACCGACTCCAAGACCGTCCAATCAACGCGGACTCGTTCCATATTGACAGCTTCAACGACATGTACCTGTGGAACTCATTCATGATTAGCCCTTTGGTCAAATTTCGTTCAAGGCTGTTGCCGCAGGAGCGGGAGGCGCTGGACGAATCCCGCATTCTGACTTCTGCCATTCGTGGGTTTTGCAAGACTATGACAATACCCCAGAGCGCCTCGCCGCTCAAAGGCAACAATGGACGGGCATCGTATCTGACACTTATATCCCGCTTATCTTGTCGCCGAGCCGGCACTCGCTTCAATGCTCGCGGTATCGACGACGACGGCCACGTTGCCAACTTTGTCGAGTCGGAAACCATCTTTTGGAGCGCCACGGGCACCGTCTTTTCTTACGTGCAGGTTCGTGGCTCGATTCCCGTATTCTGGGAGCAGGCGGCCGATTTGATACCTGGGCGACAAAAGCTCACAATAACAAGACAAGCGGATGCTACACAGCCTGCCTTCAACAAGCATTTTGAAGAGCTCGAAGCCATGTATAGTGCGGTGCATGTCGTCAATCTACTGAGCGATACGAAGCCCGGTGAGGTTGAGCTGGGCAACGCCTACAAAACTGGCATAAAGCATTGCCCTTTGAGTCGCGCCCGTCCTGGCGGCGGAACAGATGATCACGCCATGCTGCGCCAGACGCACTACGACTTTCATGCAGAGACCAAGGGCCCTGGCGGTTACGAAGCTGCGCGGGATATACGTCGTCATATTGAGCATTCAATCGACGGATTTGCGTATTTCTTGGCAGAGGAAGCTGACGATGAGAAGCGCCTGCGCAGCAAGGAAACGAGAATGGTTGTCGTGCTGCAGCAAGAAGGCGTCTTTCGCACAAACTGTCTCGACTGCCTGGATCGAACCAATCTAATCCAGACCCTGATCTCGCAAATGGCAGCAGAGGCATTCCTCAGCCACCGCGGTGTATACGCTGCTTCTGATTTCTGGATGCGTCACTCGACGCTTTGGGCCGACAATGGTGACTCGCTGTCCAAGATTTATGCCGGCACAGGAGCGCTCAAGTCGTCATTTACGCGGCACGGAAAGATGTCGCTCGCCGGAGCTGTAGCCGATATGCGCAAGTCTGTGCAGCGACTCTACCACAACAACTTTGTTGACCCGTCGCGGCAAATCACCATTGATATGCTCCTGGGTCGATTGATTGGACAAGCGCCAGTGCACTTGTGTGATCCCATTAGTGACTATATCTCTGCAGAGCTTAATAAGCGCAGTGATGAATACACATCGTTTGAGAATATCAACCTGTGGGTCGGTACATTCAACCTCAATGGTAAGACAGAAGGCATAGGCCAAGATCTGTCGCCTTGGCTATTTCCGCGGGACGTTGGCAAGGATCTGCCTGAAATCTATGTCGTGGCCTTTCAGGAAATTGTTGAGCTCAGTCCGCAGCAAATCATGAACAGCGATCCGTCGCGCAAGTTTCTCTGGGAGCAGGCTGTCAAGAATGCCCTGAACGAGCGCCAAGACAGGACCGGGGGCGAGCCGTACGTGCTTTTACGCAGTGGACAGCTGGTCGGTGCGGCATTGTGCATTTTCGTAAAGGCATCGAGCCTGCCTAATATCAAAAATGTCGAAGGGAGTGTCAAGAAGACGGGCATGTCTGGCATGGCGGGCAACAAGGGTGCGGTGGCGATTCGACTAGATTATGCCAATACGCACATCTGCTTTGTCACAGCCCATTTGGCGGCTGGGTTTGCAAATTATGACGAGAGAAATAGAGATTATGCAACGATCCACCACGGGTTACGATTTCAGCGTAACCGTGGCATCGATGACCACGGTATGTCTTGACCGACTGGCCCGGGCAAGTTTTCAAGCTAACAAGTGTAGATGCCATCATCTGGCTCGGTGATTTCAACTACCGCATTGGATTAGGTCTCGACATTGCGCGTTCGTTGGTGCAGCAACGGAATCTGTCAAGGTTGTATGAAAATGACCAGCTGAATCTACAAATGGTTGCCGGACTGGCGTTTCCGTTTTACTCGGAAGCACGTATCAACTTTATGCCTACATACAAGTTTGACGTGGGAACCGATACCTATGACAGCTCGTACGTTAGCTAACACCATCTCTGTCACGTCATCTAACAGTTTACAGTGAAAAAGCGAGAATACCGGCATGGACAGATCGCATTTTGCGGCGAGGCCAGAACTTGCGACAACTCAGCTACAACTCGGCACCGCTGCGCTTCTCGGATCACCGGCCTGTGTACGGCACGTTTGAGTGCACAGTCAGCATTGTCAACGAGAGGCGGCGCGAGGCCATAAGCGCGGAGCTGTACGAGCGGCGCAGAGCGGAGCTCGGCGAAACCGGGGGCTCGGTGCTGGACCTGGACACAGAAGATGAGGAGCTAATCGGGTTCGACCCGGTAGAACCTGGCCTGCCGGCGGCCAGCTCGGACCGGCAGAAGTGGTGGCTGGATAACCGGCAGACGGCACGGGCGCATATTCCTATCCCGACGGGCAGCAACGGGCAGCCGATGAGCCTCAACCCGCAGCGGGCGTCAAACCCGTTTACGCCGAGCGACGAGCCCGACTGGGTGGCGGTATCGAGGGCCTCGCCGGGGGCGGCGAGTAGCCTCTCGAGCTCGCCGTACGAAAAGGTGCAGATGCCGCGGCGCACGGTGCCGTCGGACGCGGCAAGGCTGCCGGCGCAGATGGGCAAGCTGGCCATGGCGGACGATCAGGCATCGATGATGTCGCTGCGGAGCACAGACTCGGAGCGTCAGCAGGCGCCGCCGCCGCCGCCGCCGCCACGACGACGCGGTGTGGGACAGCAGCCGTCCGCGACGCCAACCACCGCTTCGCAGCTCCCGGCACGGCCAGAATCGTCGTTGTCGCAGCAGTCTCAGACCAAGGAGGGCGGGGGAAACAAGCCGCCTATTGCGCGGAAGCCAGCGCATCTCGCGGGAGCATCACCAGTGGCAGCGCGGAGCCCAACGCAGCAGCACCCGCCGCTGCCTCCTAGGGGCGAGGCATCGCGGAAGCCGCTGCCGCCGCCTACAGAGTCGCTGATATAGAGAAGGTGGGACAATGAAGGATGAAGGAAAATACACGAGATTATGAATTATGTATGGCGTAGTCTTGGGGAGAAAAGATATATTATAAGAAAAAAAAAGTCCCATCTTGTGCACGTGCTAGTCGACATGAGAAGGGGAGGAGGCGATCGGAGATGTTATCCGCCGCGCAGGGATTCATGGTCCTTTGTATCCATTGCCGTGTAATTAATTAATTTGTAGAGATTACTGACGAGATACTTACAAGGGGGCGGCGGCGTTTGTCCGACGTTATTTGCTGAGGGTGGTCAGTACCGTGGGTGGGCGTCGTCACCCTCATGCGACGGGACTTCCGGGTGCCTGCGTTGCATGCGGTCCTGTAGGTAGGTAGGCAATAAAATAGGTAGGTACCTAGGTACCTAGATATCTAGGTAATTAGCCTCTCGGGCAGCAGCCGAAGCGGGGATATTTCTTTCGCCTGGCTTGTTCTTCGTTTATTTTGATTCGTTGGCGTGCGGGCTTAAATCGCTGGCAAAGCCAGCAAGCTAGCAAAGCTGTCGTTTTCGTTTTCTTTTTCTTCTTCTTTTTTTTTTTCAAGGTCTGTAACTTCTTAACGTGTATGTGTGTGTCATTTCTTCCCTGCCAGTCGTTTTCTATATTCAGTCGAGCCGTTGTAACCGCAAGAATCGGGTTTTCAACGGGACCGCCTGCCCTGCCGGCCCCAGAACGCGATTCTGCAACGCCCGCCCCCGCCGCGTTTTGAATGAAAAAGAAAAAAAAACGGGGAGGCGGAGATTTGGGGCAGGGGACGGGGACATTGTTGCAAAAGAAATGTGTGGAAAATTGATTGGTCCGATTTGTAAGATTGCCATGTCTTGCTTTAACCCATACTATTTTACGGATTAGAGAGTACGGATTAAATACAGAGTTGGCTTTTTGCACAAACTGATAACTACTGAGTAGTCGATGCTTGCAAAGGACCCTTGGCTTTGAATCGGAATGCGTGGGTGGCCCGGCCGATGCAGTGTGATTGATGATGATGGGCCATGGCGCGGTGTCCGCACATCGGCTTGGCTTTTTCAATTTTTATAACAATTTTTTTTTCTTAAAATCAATTCAATAATATTTAGTGTAACTACGCAAGGGGGCCAAAGAAATAGTCGTTGTCGTGTGCCGTCGCACGCCACCCTAATAATGGGCAACTATCTTAGTTAGTTACTCTGTACGGTACAGCAAAACGGGGGCATCTGCGTTGTCTGGGGGAGGAGTTTGCTGCGTCTACGCACCCGCCCCCCGCCTCCCTCTTTTCTTCTTTTTTTCTTTTTAGCAGTCAATCACCGCTAGAAATTTCAAAGCAAAAAAACAAGACGGGTGACGGCCGGAAGAATGTAAGCGGGCGCTAATAATATCCTCTTTGCATGGGGTGCCGTTGTCTGAACACTTGGGTACTACACCGCCCAAGTGGTGGTGAACCCAAGTCAATACTGTGAGTTTCTCTCACGCAAACCCTCAAATCTCAGGCACCATTACTACTACTACACACCACCACGGTGCACCTGCAGAACTATTCATCTATTTTTTTTCTCTCTCAGCATTGTTTGCTTGAGACTCCAATTTTCAATGCCGGTCATGCGCCTCCTCTTCTGCATCATCTTGTCCACTCGTACCGTTTGCCATGGGCCCCCCCCTCCCCTCAGCCCAGCCCAGCCTCCTCGATGACGCTAGTGCTAGCTGATCCACCCGACCCCGAGCTGAGAATAGGTAGGCATAGGCAGCTTTTTCTGATGGGGAGACCCAAAAGTCATATGCAGCGCCACACACAGCACATCACCTGCTTTTTTGCTTGAACACCGCATATTCAAAACCCAAGGAAACCGCTATCCGCTGGGACTTTTTTGTTCTGACTGGGCTGGGCTGCCGAGTCAAAAACCTATTTTCAGAGGGCAGGGCGATGACGTTTCTCACACTACCTAATGGTATGGAGAAGTTCGTTCTGCCAATCTTCCTCCTCCTCCAATCGTGTAAGCCCTGCTTGCTTTGAGGCAGGGTGATGCGTGAGTGTGTGTCATTGCTGCGGCTGTATTCATTCATAGTGGCCTGCTTTTTCGATCAGGTCTTTTTATTCGCTAGTTATCCTGATTTTGGCCACCCTCTTCTGACTACTTTTTACTCGTTGGAATAGAAATCTTCTTCTTGCCTTTATTTAACCCAGTCCTTTTCCTCTTCTTTCTATTTTTTTTTTTTTTCAGCCAACTCTAGCACAAGCAAAAAAGACTTGCCCGATTCGTGTCTCTTTAATCAAAGGAACCCTTGTCCACCCTCAATTCGGCGCCCTGCCAATATATTTTTCATCATCACCTTTTTCCTTTTCCTCCTCCTCCCGCCTCGGCACTCTTCATTCAATCCATCAAACTCTCCCGAATCTGTTTCAACATCCGCCGGCAGCGGTCATTGACGAGGGGTCTTCTGCGTCAAGCACACACAAACACGCCCCCCCCGCGACGAAACACGCTCACTGGGGGTTCCGCTCTCGGCCCACGGTCAGTCGGCCAAGTACAACACACAAAAGTGGCAAGCAGCACCACTTCTTTTCTCCTCTAGCAAAACGGCAGCGCAGCCTCGCGGCATCATCATTATCATCATTGTCAATTTCCTGCCGGGGGCGCAAGGCGCGTTCTCTTGGAATCCGCCGCCTTAATCAGAAGCTGCCCAGTCCTCCTTTTCTCAGGCTTGCTTCTCGAGGACCGAAAAGAAAGAGACGGCAGTACAGCAAATAACGCCCTATTTATTCTTGCACCTATTTATATACCACCCCAGACGCAACACCCCCCAAAGCCGTCTAACCTTGTCATTCACCTCTTTGCAACGCACAACACAATACACACACACGCACAATGGACACCGCCGTTGAGCAACACCCATCTCTCTCCGCCGCCAAGCAAGACCGCATCCTCATCTGGCGCCGCGAGGTCGCCTCGGCCTCCCTCGACCCCGACACCACCCACGACGGCGCCTCCTCCTCGGCCACCTCCACCACCACGTCCTCGGCATCCTCCTCTTCCTCGTCGTCCTCGCGTGCCGCACTCGCCGCCGGCCGCCGCGTCCTCTCCAAGCTTGCCCACAAGCTCTCCAAAAGGTCGTCGTTGTCGTTGCGGCGATCGAGTCCCGCCGATGACGGCAGCAGCGGTCGAGGAGGGGTCACGAGGACGGCCATGTACGCGACGCTGTCGCCCGATTATCGCCCGGGGGAGCTCCATCTCAGCGACGACGAAGACGACGAGGGATCGTTTCCGCCGGGCTTGATTAGGAGGGCCAGCTGAGAGGCCCTAGGTGCCAATGGGGGAAGAGACGGATACTTTGTGGGACGACTGCCGCGGCCAACAAGGTCAATTAACGTATCATCACCATCAAACTTCACCATCGACATCACCATTCTTATCGCCATCGACATGGACATGAAAACGGCCATATAATGAGGCGCTTTCTTTTGGAGTCTTTTCTACTTCTCTTTTTATCATTGTTCCTTCGTTTTGGAAGCCGGTCCTTTTGCAAACCATATACCCTTTTGCCTTGTTGCGCAGCATCAACTCGTATCATCTAATATCATCGGACATTTGCACCTCTCCAACATGCACAATCCTCGACTATACTACTCATTAGCCATGCTATAACGCTTTTTCAATATACATATAACGCATGACAAGTTTGTCACCATTGCTGCCAGTGATTGCCCGCCCACGTCAAATTCCACATACTTCATTGCATGCAAACTGACAGCCTAACCCAATCAGTCACGAGACATCAACTCATCATGCAAACCAAACATCACGTCACACAATGCAGCAACAACGCACAACACACGTTATCAGATATTTTGCCATTTTTTATATACTGCGGTTCCATCCCGAGTCCCCTTTAACCTGCTGCGAGACAGAGCCTGGAGCCCTCTCAATGGGGGCCATCTTGTCCGGGATTTCTCTCCTCTACAAACAGGTTCCACGTCGACTATCAACCTTGCAACGACGGATGGTCAAAAGAGGTACGCCGGAGGCCACTGCAGAAACTGAAAAAAAGAAGAAACAACGAATAAAGAGTTTAACAAGAGAGCAGCAGAAACAACATTTCCGTTCAAGTGAAACCGAGATACGATCCATAAGAAATTTCAGGATCGGGGCCAACTAATTCCAGTAAAGCAGCCATGGTGGGAAAAAAAAAAGAAACAAAATCACCCCGACAAGAGGGGTCAATGTTTGTAATTTTTTTTGCCATGACTACAGGCGCAGTCAGGCGCGAGAAACCATCGTGGTCCTCTCCCAAGCCGAAACCACAAATAATTCTACCCCCCCATTTGCAAGAAAAGCAAACGCACCAGCCAACCCGTTTCTTCGTGAGTCAACTGCACCGTACCAGTCCGGCCAAGAATGGCGCAGACTTAGGAGGCACCGGCAGTGGCAGCCGCGTCAGTCGTGGTCTCCTCGGCGGGCTTCTCGGCCTCGGCGGGGGCGGCGGCCTCGTCCTTCTTGGGGGCATCGGCGCTGGGCTCGGCCTCGGCCGTGTCAGAAGAGGTCCACAGGGTGAGGTTGTCACGGAGAAGCTGCATGATCAGGGTGCTGTCACGGTACGACTCCTCAGACAATGAGTCGAGCTCGGCAATGGCGTCGTCGAAGGCTTGCTTGGCAAGGTGGCAAGCCCGGTCGGGCGAGTTGAGAATCTCGTAATAGAAGACGGAGAAGTTGAGAGCAAGGCCCAGGCGGATGGGGTGGGTAGGGGTGAGCTCAGTCTGAGCCACGTCGGTCGCGTTCTGCGGCTGTTAGTTTGCCGAAAAGCAGTCAGGATCTGAGGGCATAACAAACCTTGTAGGCATCGTGGGCAGCAGTGGCGGCAACCTTGCGCTTCTCGCCAGAGGCGAACTCGGCAAGGTAGCGGTGGTAGTCACCCTTCCTGTGAGCTTGTTAGCAAGCGATTGCCGGGTGACACAAATTTCGGTCAGGATTTGGTGCACGCACATCTTGTGGTAGAAAACCTTGGACTCGCCAGTGGCGGAATTGGGAATGAGGCTCTCGTCGAGAACGTCGAGAACATCCTGGCAGACCTTTTCGAGCTCCGTCTCGATCTTCTGGCGGTAGTCCTTGATGGTGGGGACGTGCTTGTCGGTGCCCTTGGACTCCTCCTTCTGCTCAATGGAGGAGATGATGCGCCACGAGGCACGGCGGGTGCCGACGACGTTCTTGTAGGCAACGCTGAGCAGGTTGCGCTCGTCAACGGTGAGCTCGCCACCAATCTTGGCAACCTCCTTCATGTAGGTGACCATTTCATCGTAGCGCTCGGCCTGCTCGCAGAGGCGGGCGAGGAAGGTCTTGCTGTTCAAAGCGTTAGTTTACGTGTGCGATGTTGAAGCGGTCATGGTGGCGGCGGGGCCAGGAAGGCAAACCTTTCACGCTGGGAGACGAGTTAGCAAGAGTCTGGAGAAGATTACGAGATGATTATTGAGGAACAGCCGTGAGCAGCATCACAAGACGCTGGCCCATATTGGCTCAGAGCATTGAACGGATAGGGGCCCTAGGGCGGTGGAGGGAGGGGACAGGGAAGCGCAAACGGAGGAGCCATACCTCAGTAGTCATTTTGAAAGAGAGGAGCTGTTCTCAAGAAATTTGGAATCGGGTAAAAACGCAGAAAGCCGGGACGGACAAGAGAGAGAAGAGAAGAAGAGACGACGTCAAAATCTGATTAGGGTGAGGATGGGGGAATGATGGATGAAAGAGGAAGTGTTGATATTTTGATGTGGATAAGTGGTAGATTTGGACTTGGTTTTAGGCGCTTGAGGGGGGGCCGCAGAGGGAGGAGAGAGGGGGGTAAACCAATGTGCTGGTTGGAGCTTGGTTGCTGTGACTCTGCGAGACTGCAGGGCTACATGCCTGGTCTGGCAGGCGTTTCTCTGTCGTCGGAGCTGTCCACTGGCCTCACAGAGTCACAGGGAACTACATCAGAGCCCGGCTCCCACCAGAGCACACCAGAGCACACCAGAGCACACCAGAGCACACCAGAGCACACCAGAGCACCCACTGTTGCCTGCGGTCAGCCAGAAAACGAGTGGCAGCAGGCCAGTTTGCGGTGGAGTCATGTTTTTTTTTTTTTTCACCTCCCCCGCTCCGTCGTGAAAATTGCTCTACAAGCTTCACCTCTCTTCCATTGTCCGCGTGGTCTTGTCACTCGGTACCGTTTGGCGGGTTTCTCACCAAGAAAATACCCGCCCCCGTCGACGTGGCGGTGATGGCCACTGGGCCCCAAGCCGCAACATCCGCAGAGTGTGGTTCTGCAGGTTTGAACCAAGAGGGTTTTCCTGATCAGGATGGGCTTTTCTCTTTTTGTTTATTATTAGGTACTATCTATTACTGTACTCTGTCAGAAGTACTGTGCTATTCACAGTGGTTGACTTGACTCTCGCGCAAGCTCTTTGCATACCTGCCTACAACATGTCCCAGTCAGCATCGCGGGGTAGCTCGATAAACCCTCACTCAACTCTACCAAAACCTCGCGACGCATCAGCCGCTGCCCTCCCCTCCCCCTCTCAACCACCAGCACCGCCGGGAATGTGACGACCCATTCCGTCACACAACATGGCTGCCTTGAGCTTATTATTGCCTCTGCTCCCCCCCTCGTGGCCCTGATCTAGTTTCGCCAGCACTGCCACTCCACCAAACTAGTGGCCACCATGGACTGTGTTGTTCAACTTGTCCTGCCCCAGAATAGAGCCTAGCCGGCCCCCTCCTTGGGCCTGCCTCGTCTTCATCGTGGCCTCCCGCACACTGAGGGGCCCATCGCCTGTCAGCCCTGACCCTTCGCATCCAATAACGCATCACGACCTCTCCCGACGCTTCCCGCTCTCAAACCAACGGCCACCGTCTTGCGACCATGTGATGGCGTCACCATTTCACCATTTTACACAACAGCCCTGTAAATCGACCCGGGTGTGACACCCCGCCGCGCTGAAAGACTGCAAAACAACTCGAACAAGTCAACAAGTGAAGTGCATCATCCGTAGTGATTCTGCTCCCCCCTCATTTGGGTCCCACCAAGCGTGCCCAATAGATAGTTTGCTTCAACGTTGATGTCGCCTGAATGGCTACAAGATCATCGCGTGGCATGCGGGGCCTGCGCCTCGAAATGATTCGCACTGACAAAAAAATAGTATTATTCTTATCACGTCTGTTGATACAATCTATGAGCGCATGACACTCGCAGTCACGGACGCCACAGCCGCAGTTGCTGTTTCCTCATCCGCAAGCATCATCTGCTACAGCTCTTGGTATTCCGCTTCCATCTCTAGCCCCTCGGCCTCTGGCAGCTTTTCAATCAGCTTCCTGCGACCCCAGTCAAATGGATCGCCACCTGGGAAACACAACCCCAGTCTCCAAAAGTAATCTCGGTGCGCGAAAAATAGCTGCCACAGATTGAGCCGCGTGGAAATCCCCCGCTTCTGTAACTGGCTGCCCTTAACACCTTGATAAAATTGCGTCAGGCGCGCAAGTCCCTGCGAAGTGCTGTCTTGGCCGGCACTGCAGCTGTTGTCCTGATCGCCTATGCACAGCTGCAAGTCCTCCTCGGCGGGCGAAAGATCCGGCTTGGTGATGTGAATTTCGCCAGCGTGTGACTTATACCCCCATTCTCCAGGTGGCAACAGCGGCACAGGGTCATTTGCGTGCGTGACTCGTCGATACGAACGCTTTTCCAAGTCCCCTTTGTCGTTGAGATTGAATACACGGTCGATAAAATCAACCAGCCCGTCATTGCCCACACGCGGTTCGCCGAAAGTCGTGACAACAACATTGTCTAGGCCTAGGCTAGTCTTGAGCTCCAGGGCAGCCAGGCACGCCACTGCACCTCCAAGACTATGTCCAACTAGGTGAATCGGTTTCGACGGATATGTCTTCCGTAGTTGCACAAGTTCGGGAATGACCGACTCCCTGGCGCTTTGCCATGTCTGAAAAAACCCCATGTGAACGGTACAGTTTGTGCACTTGTGCGCTGGCGCGTCGCCCTGCGAGGGATACGGCACGTACTCTTGGGGCACGGTGCTGAGGTCGATCACGGTATTGGCGATGCTGTAGGTGCCGCGAAAGGCGACGATGATGGCGCCATGCGAGTCCACGGCGAGGCTCGAGGCTGGCGTCTCGTCGACGGCAACGTAGCCGCAGCTGTCCGTCAAGAACACGCCGGTGCTCCATGTCCGCGACAGCGTCACGTTGGGGAAATCGCTGCAGCGAGAGAGGCAGCTAAATGGTTTGCCGATGCCCGTGTTGCCGATGCAGTAGGTAATGTCGACGAGCCGGGCCAGGCGCTCAAGCGAGGCAAACATGCTGACCGATACGCCGGGTGCCTGCTGCGCGACGACAACGTGCAGCAAGCACGCGAATAAGAGGAGCCACATTCGTCGATGCGCAAACGGCCTGCCGTCGCTATTGATGAATTTAGGTATTTTGCAAAGGAGATAAGAAGTTGAAGCGTCAAATGTTAGAGACAACTTCAGACGATTGCATGATCACGAGGCTTGGGCTGCTCAGGGTGGGCCAGAATCCGGGGTTAGCGCAAGCCCAACGCTAAAAACAGGCACTGCAAGTAACCTAGGGCGCCACTGCATCGTGCCGTGCTTTGCACATTATCAATTTAGGGAAGTTGCACCTATCAATCTTTTTACTCATACAAATCGTCTTGCTTATTCCATTTGCATCATTTCATAGGCCATCTTGAAGCTAGTAGGATCGCGGACGGGCTGGAGGCTGTTAAAGGTGCCAAGGTATTCCGTCGCATTGGCGGCGCATTGGCCGCCCTTGCAGGGAGCTGAGATGGTGATGCTCCCAGCGGCCTCGTAGAGGGGCGTTCTGTTTCAACTTTAGCTTTCTTTTTGTACTCCCTCGTTGAGTACGAGTGGCGAAAAATGTACCCCTGAGGATTTGGGCAAGCTCGCTCGACAATGGTCAGCTGTTGCTTCTCCTGGCCCCAGATGAACTTGACGTCGTGGTTTTCGCAGGCATAGCGCGGCGTCAGGCCCCCGGGCGTCGTCGACGTCGACGTGGCGTTGAGCTGGCATGTCGTCTCGACGCCAGTGACCGCGTCTGTGTAGGCAAAGGTGAAAAAGGACGGCGCGGGGGCATCGCCGGTGCCATTGGCCTGGCCGACAAAGTCGTGGACCTTGAATTCGTGGGGAAGGCTGCAGCCCTGCTGCTCGGCGGCCTTGAGCATCATCGGGTCTGCCGAGTAGGCGGCGGCGAGGGGCAGCGCAATGGCGGCGAGACTGAGGCGCATTTTGGCTGTGATAATGTGATATTTGCGATGTTGTGTGATGAAGTAAAAATAAGAAAAAACGAGCGACTGCGAATTTTTTGAATACGGACAAACAAGGCAAAGAGAACTGACAGGCAAGGACAGGCAGTTTATAAAGGTGCGCCGTCACAACTGCCCCTGATTAAGGTAGGCTTTAGCCCAACGATCACTGCCGATCTTCTTGTTTCATCCTCGGTGGTTGGGTGGTTGGGCAGTTCCTGGACTTGTTCTGCCCTCCTTTTCCAAGGCAACTACCAACTACATGCCAGTACTCCCTAAAGCATTGGTGATTGGGATGGGACATTGGGACCCAGTTCCACAATGACGATGCTGATCCAGGCCCGAGCACTGACAAGCAAACAAGCACTGCCACGGGACGGGACCATCGCGCGTCGGCAACACCATCTTGTCGTTGGTTTCTTGGCAGAGACCGTCTGATTTCGTTACTCGTCACTCGTGAAATGGCAGACGACCGGGTGGACTGTGTGGCACTATTTGTATGCTGCTGCATCGCTCAATGTTGAGCCCAGCCAACCCGTCAGCTTGCACCTCCACTTTGTCTTCTCACTGACCAATCCACAGTGCAACGATAATCGAATCATCGACAATAGCCAAGTCTCAACTTTTTGTGGGCATGGCTCCAACATGACGTCCGAAGGAAGCACCAGAGTCCCAGTCCTCAGAAAGCGATCGTCGCGAACTGCGCGGACAGAGGTGTCCGGGCCCCATCAAAGACTGAGCAAATTGACGCAATTTTCCCCTAGCGAGCTTTCAATCTCGAATCAAATATGCCAGTTTAGTAGTGTCGTATTCTTCGCCCTGGGATTGTCATACCTGACTTGTCGCTGAGAGCAAGTTTGTCTCTTATCACATGCCGCCTGAACTTGACAAGGCCGCAACCGTCGCAAATAAGCCTTTATTATTACTGGCAGGGTATCACCTAGCGGGAGTATGCTACGAAATTGCAGATAAGCTGCGAAACGTCGGCCAGTCAGTCGAGGCTAAAAACAGAAACGAAACTTGAAAGATTGAAAAAGTTCCAGGCCATGTACCCCGCGAGCTAGATCGCCAAGCTACAACATCTGCGGTCCGACGGCAATGGTGCGGAAATAGTCGCCAGTCACCAAACGCTTTCCAGACACACACGCCACGAGATACCAACATCATGCTTAGATGAGGCAGTTCAATCAGAGTCGATGAGACTTGTCACGCTGGCTACTTTTGGGTCCAATTTCTAGATGCCGCCGAATCAGCAGGCCATATATTTGTCCGCGACGCTGTACACCAAGCAGGTAACCCAGATGCTACGCCCTCGATCTCTTCTGCAGTACGCGCACCAAGATTATGGCACGGCAGCATCTCTTGCATTTGTCACATCGCACAAGTGGTATGAACGTCACAAAGATTGCGCAGTTCGGTCGCTCACCGCACCAAGGCACTGCAAAACTGGGCAAGCGACCAGATGGTGGGCTCCTTGGGGTCCGTCTCTGGCCATCATCTGCAAGCGAGAACAACATCCGCAAATAGACCGTAAGACGCAAGTGGCGCAAATCATGAGATAGCATGCGCAATATACTCATGTGGTAAGTTAGTCTGTATAGTGAGGCAGGACAACTCACCCTTATGGTTACAGAAGTTCCCCCGCTCGCGACGAAAGGCTTACAGCCGGCTCCGCCTCTTCTGGCTGCAGAAGGATTCGCCCATACTCAACTCCGGGCGCTTAACAAGAGAGGCCAGCGAGGCAGCTGTTCGTTGTGTTTGTCGCAGGAGACTCAGTTCATCTACATCAATCTTGGAGTGCAAGGACAGCTCTACCCTAAGCCAGCTCGAAGGTCTCTCACCGGAAACGTTTTTTTCTCTCGAACGCTGTGAATTCAGGTCGAACGATTCGAGGCTGCAGGCCCTGCAGTGACCCCATGACCACCCATGCTGCATAGAGGCAGCCTCTGCTGTGGAGGGCCACCTCGATGCAGGCTCAGCCTCGAGAAGCAGCCAAAAATAGCCTCGCCAGAATGAGGGGTTTAGGAGGAATCAGGCTGGCGTTGGAAGTTATTTAATGTAGTACATCCCGGCCTTTTGGGCGTTGCACACGGCAACCATATTCAGTACCAGTCCCAAGATGCACGCCACTTCCACATTGTTCTGGCCGAACTCGGCCGAAAAGATGCGCGAGGCCCTTCATGTGTCCGCCGAAGAGCCCCTGCTATGCTGCGGGCGGACCGCAAAGAAGAAGTGCTGCAGCAGAACCATCAGCAAGGCCAACAGGTCCAGCATTCAACATCTGCTTAGTGATGTTGTGGCTTCTGGGAGCTGGAGTGCCGCCAAAGAGCTCTTCGAGCGTCTCTCAAAATTGGTCTTGTGCCAGGGTAAGCGGTTTGGACACCAAAAGCAGTGTCACGAGCTGTTGGTCTCGTGGCAGAGAACATTTGCCGAGACAGAATTACGGCACGCACTGGGCAAACTCGCAACCGAACCGGCTACAACTGTAAACAAGTATAGAACGATCAAGTTTGAGGCGGTGGATGCCAACACGCATACAATACCAGCTGCTGTTCAGAAATTGGCTGTCAAATTCGAACCCGATGAAGAGTATGACTTCTCATCATTGTACGAGATACCCGACCTCCAAGAGGACACCAAGCCGGCACACATCTTTGTCCCGTACGGCAAGACGCAAACCCAGTTACAAATCAACAAGGCCATCCAGAAAATCATCGAAAAACCCCTCACACCGAAAGAGAAAAAGTCACTCTCTAAGTCGGGTGGCGTCTACATTTACAGACTACCCAACACGGCCAGCGGCGAGGCACCGGACCTCAAGATTGGCTCCACAACTGACTACGAGCGTCGAATGAAAGAGTGGCGAAGTAGCTGTGGATATAACCCAGAAAAATTGAGTATCTTCTATACGAGCCTGTACAGGCGCGTGGAGCGCCTCGTCCACGCGCAGCTCGGGGTGTGCCGCAAGCGCGAGGCGAAGTGTCCCGGCTGCGGAGTATCGCACCAGGAGTTCTTTGGCGTCCGGCGGTACCAGGCAGCCAAGCTCATTGGCCTCTGGTCTGAGTGGATGGGCCACGTTCCGTACGATGAGGACGGGACGCTCAATGCGGAGTGGCGGAAGAAGCTGGAGGGCGTGGACTTGGATGATGCTGACTGCTGGGAGAGCTTTACGGCCAAGGAATGACGGCATTACCCAGATATATATAATGATTGTAACGTATGTAAGAGCTGTATATCTCACACCCACGATGGGAATGTAATTGATTTAAACTCTATGCTGCACGTGGTAGATGGCATCGTAGGGGGTCAGTGCTAACGCTCGATTAATATGGACTGAACTTGGCCTTTAAAAATCCCGTTTGATTTGTCTTACCCTGGTTCTTCATTTGCCAGCTCATTCACGAGCGAATCCATCTCCGTCATGATCTTGAGCTCCTCGGGGTACTCCTTCATGACCTCTGCGACAACCTGCCGCCACCACGGCTGCTCACCGCGAGTCCCCAGCAGCGCCATGTAGTACTCCCACCACTCGGGCCAGAAGCCCGCCGTCTCCCAGTCTGTGACGCCGTGGAGGCGGCCCGTGGCCTCGTCGACAAAGATGTTGGCCCACGAGAGGTCGCCGTGGCAGAAGCGCGCGCGCCGGGGCGGCTGCAACCGCGCAAACCGCCTCCGGAACGTCTCGGCGGCCTCGGCGCGGCGAGCGCGCAGCGCGTTGGGCAGCGCGCCCTGAAATGTGGCCACGTCCGGGCACGCGGACCACAGAAACGGCCGCCGAAACTCGGCGGCCGACGTCACCGACGCGGCCGGGCTGGGCGGCTCGCTCCTGCGGTGGTTGTAGCACGCGCCGCCGGCAATGTTGCGTATTTGGTACGTGCCGGGCTCGGGCTCGATCTGGTGCACCTGCTCGAGAAAGGTCCGCAGCTGCTGGCACATGGTGGCGCGGGCGCCGGGTGTCATGCCCGGCCAGGCGACGTCGAGGCGCACGCCCGACACTCTCTTCATGCGGATGTAGTTTTCCTCGACGCGCTCAATGGTCTTGGTCTGCTCATCCAGGCAGTAGCCGATGATGGACGGGACCGGGATGGCCACGGATAGGTGATGTTTGAGAAAACAGATAGATTCCACCTCCATCCTTAGCAGATGCGCAAACCCGCGTTTGCGCACGGCATAGTCTCCTTCAAAGATTAGTGTGGATTCTGGAGACATTCTTGTGAAGCTCAAATGGACCCTGTCAAGGGAAGATTGCCCGTCGCCGTGTGGCTGCTTGGCTCTCCCGTGCTCGTGGTTCGCCAGGGCGAGGCGCTCGTTTTATAGCCTCACGGCAAAAATAAAAGGGGTCAATGGCTGTGAAGATCGCTTAGCTAAACGCTGTAATACAGTTTCAATGTATTTTTTCCGGTAGTGGGACAGAAAGTGTGTAAGTGAGTGCGACGTTCTCTCAGTGTTGCACAGCTGAATAGTTTGTACATATTCACCTAACGCAGCCCCATTTACTGTTTTACAAGGTCTTGTCGAAGCAATTGGCCGAGAACATATGTAGCACAATAAACGCATTATTTGCAAATATTTGTTTGCCAAACTCGGGAAAAGTCTCCTTCGAGAGGGCTGTCCACGCTTGAGACGTCCTGAGCTGCCGACTCACATCGGTAAGTACAAGAGATCTGAATAAGCAAAGAGTGACTGATGTGATTGAGCAACTGATACAGACAATAAAGTATTCTTACTGTTATAATAAACTGGGCTGCTGATACAAATTCAGATCTTCAGCCTATCTGGTCCGAAGTCATCTATTTATAGTCGATCTCTTGTGTTACTGGAGTTCTGTCCGCAATCGTGTCCTTGTGGGACTCTATTTGCCGCGACTATTATGAGCCTCGGTACGCACAACAGCATTTGTAGCACTTGAATTATGTGCATTTGGCCATAGTTGGGTAGCTGCCATGATTATTTCTGCTACTTGTTCCCATTGGGTTCCGATCACTTACAAGCAAAACTGCGGCATGCTCACTACACAGCGAGCATCTGAGCCCATTGAAAGACAGTCTAACTCACTACAACAAATTTGACGGAATTCCGAGTAACCGTTTCACATAGTCTCGAGTCACCATATTTAATCACCTTTGTGGTGCAGTTGCCTAGGTTTGAGTGCCAACATGAGTCCATCGAGGAGAGTGATAAGAGACTATCGATATAGCTTGTCGATAACATGATCATCCCAAGTTAGTGTGCCAGCAGGGAGCCACCACCAAAAAAACAACTCGCTTACCCTGCGCACGTGACCCACAACTGCGAAAAACCTCTCTGCCCCACACCATCCAGCGAATTTCCAGTTGCCCGTCGAACCCTCCCCGGCTTTTTTTTGGAAATCCTTAACCACCGACCGACGACAACTTCCTTCGACAACCCCCCCGAACCGACGGAATATCACATCACAATGGCCAAGGAAGCCACTGCTAAGACCGGCCTCGCCGTTGGCCTTAACAAGGGTCACGTACGTGTTTTGTCATGATGCTCTCACCTCGTGGAGGATCTCTGCATATGGAAGAAATTCTTCTTTTCCCACGAGAGTGAAAAGCTATTTTTCTTCTCTGCAGACGATGGACGCTGACATTCGACGTTTTTTTTCCCACGGATTATAGAAGACCACCGCTCGCGTCGTCAAGCCTCGCGTCTCCCGCACAAAGGGCCACCTGAGCAAGCGCACCGCCTTTGTCCGCGAGGTCGTCAAGGAGGTTGCTGGCCTCGCTCCCTATGAGCGCCGCGTCATTGAGCTTCTCCGCAACTCGCGCGACAAGCGCGCCCGCAAGCTCGCCAAGAAGAGAGTACGTTCTTTCTTTTTTTTCTGATTCTCGCCCAAATGGTTTTCAGATACAGGAATCTTGGGTTTGCTAACCAAATACGCAGCTCGGTACCTTTGGCCGTGCCAAGAGAAAGGTCGACGAGCTCCAGGGCGTCATTGCCGACTCCCGCCGTACCGCTCACTAAATCATTACTTCACTTGTGACGGAAAAGCGAGGGAGGGATTGATGAGGACGACATGGAGCGCCGGGATGAAACAGTCTCTTGGCGATCCCGAATACCACAAAAGCCCCGGGAGAATATGAAATGAAACTTTTTTTTTTACCTGTAACGGCGTGGGATTTTCATTCTGGGATTTACAAAAAAAGAACGGCTTGCACGGATTTGATCGAGTTCGGTCAGGCTACGTAGGCATCTGTCGCATTGTACAAAAGACGTGCGCTGAATACCACTACTTTACGATCAACACCAGGACATGTTCCCTTGTGAAATGTGTTTGAATATCGTGAAATCGAAACATGAGTTGTCTAACAGTAAAAACGCCGCTTAATGCATCAATGCTTTGGTTATTTCTTGCCCAGCTTCAGCCACTTGGGCACCTTGGAGCCCTTGCCGTCTCCGGACCCCTTCTTCCCCTCAGCGCTCTCGTCTTTCTTCGGCGCCGGCACCGGCTCCTCCGCCTCATACTTTGGCATCTCCGGCACCTTGATCTCCTGGCCCTGCTTGGCGACGTTGGCCGCGAGGAACGGTAATTTGCGCTTTGCCGGCGGCACCTCGTCGTTCCACACCAGATTCACGAGCACCCTGCCCTGCAGCTTGTAACCTGCAATGAGGGTGTGCTTGGGCCCCGCGTCGTCTTTGATCACGTTCTTGCCGCTGCTTCCCGGCAGCACGAGGTGGAACGGCAAGGTCGGGTCCGCCATGACGTGCCGCACGGCGCTGTGCAGAAAGGCGCCGGTCGCGGTGTGATCGATCTGCCAATCGCTGCTCGTGTTGTCGGGGAAGCGCACCTTGACGAGGACCGACTTGATGGACGCGACGCGGGCCTGCTGGTCGGCGGCCTGTTCTTCGAGCTCCTTGTCCGAAAGGAGGCGCTTGTTGCGGGCTTTTTGCTGCAACTTGCTCTGATGCAGCTTGGCATGCGCAATGGTGGGCGTGAAATCGGATTCTTCCGCAGGGGCCAGCGCCGCGGCTGGGGTGCTATTGGAGGGGGCCAGATAGACGCTGACCGGCTCAAAGGGGTCCTTGGACTCCGAAACGGGCGCAGCTGTCGGCACGATCTCAGGTGTCTCTTGCGCAGCTGGTGGTGCGCCAGTCATTGTGGTATCCGGTACCGGCACCGGCACCGGCGCAGGTTGCGCTTCTTGAGCCGTGGCTGGTGTTTCTGGTTGCGCCGCCGGGTCGCTTGGTTCTTCTCTCGTCTCTTTGAAAAACTGGCCAATCTGCTCCATGGCTTCAAAAAGCGTCTGGTCTGTCGTCTTAAACGTCAAGCGTATTAAGACGCTGCCCGAGTTGTGTCCCAGCTGCGCCAGCGTCTTCTGGAAGTCTTGAAAAGTCGTGTAGTCGCGGCCCATGATATTGAGAATAGGCGTCTCGTAGTATAGCTGGCCGGCTCCCGATTCCGTGCCGGGGCTCGTCTTGGCGACGCCCCGCGCCGTGATGTTGATGTTGCGCCCGGCGCTCGCATCGCCGCTCTCCAGTTGCCGTAGCACGCCCCATAGTGTAAGGTTGGAGGGCAGCTTCTTGATCAGGCGGCCGCCGGGGATTTCTTTGGCCTCCGGTTGGGGCAGCTGCAGGCCAATCTGCACGGCCGACGGCGTGTTGGACTTTTGGACGAGCTCGAGCTTCGCGCCGCCGACGAGGCCCGAAGTGCGAAAGGGAACGGTGAGGTCGACGGATTTTTGCTTGTGTCTTGGGCAGTCAGCAAGAGTTGAGGTTGTGTCTCTAAGCGTATCGCCTACTTGAGTATATATTTGTCGCTTGAGATGCTGAGCTTCTTGCACGCTTCCTGCAAAACATCTATCAGATATGTACCTGGCGTGACTTTGATCGTGGCACGACGCAGGTCCGAGGCGATTACGACGACATGCGTCGACATGGCAGCCGTTGGGTCGGTAAAAAGTTCAGAGGATGCAATGTCGGTCTCTGGCGATGGTGTTCTCGTCAAATGTTAAGGTCAAAAGTAACACTGACAAGGTGTCACGATAAGCCGTGGCAACCTTCTCGAACAATCCGCAGCAGGCAGCTGGGAGCTCGACGTGGGGTTATTCAGTGGCGCGCCTTGTTCCTTCAAGGTCTGGCAACCAGGCAGGAATCATGTCCCACTGGAATTATAGCGCACTTCAGCGCTGCAATAAGATCCTAAATTCGCCCGCAGGCAGCACAGCGCTGCGCCGGCTTACGTGGTTGGTTTAGGCGGGGATTTGCCGGGCTGGCCGCGCCAGTCGTGTTGCCTTGCCGCTATGCTGCTACCTGGCGTGTGTGCTGGGTACTGAGGGAGCTCTAGCTTCATCAACCGCGAGAGCTTCATCTAACCTCGTCTTCTCTCGGCCCCTCAACTCAATCTTGGCGGCAGAACCTCTGGCAGCGCGCCTATATCTACAGCCTCATACGTGCGACTTGCAGGTCCGCGTTTCCACATCACACACCTCTCTTCAGATACCCACCATGGTAAGCTTTCGTTTGCTTCAAGTTGTCACCCGATGACATTGCTAACTATCGTGGCCATTAGTCGTCTCCATTCTCGATCAGTCAGTGAACCCCATCGCTTCGACCCAATCAACACTACTGCCACCGAACGAGGATCAATGTATGCTAACCACTAGATAGATGGCGGTGCTTGCGTCGCCATGGTCGGCAAGGACTGCGTCGCCATTGCCTGCGATCTCCGCCTCGGCCTCCAGGCGCTGACCGTGTCCAACAACTTTCCCAAAATCTTCCAGTACGGCGACGTTTTCCTAGGCCTGACTGGCCTCGCCACCGACGTCAGCACCGTCAGCGACCTCTTCCGGTACAAGGTCAACATGTACCGCCTGCGAGAGGAGCGCGACATTGCGCCGCGCACCTTTGCCAATCTTGTCTCCTCATCCCTCTACGAGCGCCGCTTCGGCCCATACTTCATCTCGCCCGTCGTCGCGGGCCTCGATCCCAAAACTGGAAAGCCGTTCATCTGCGGCTTTGATAGCATAGGCTGTATTGACTTTGCCAAGGACTTCATCGTCGCTGGCACCGCCTCGGATCAGCTCTTTGGCATGTGCGAGGGTCTTTACGAGCCTGACCTAGTACGTTCAAGCTGCAGACACCAGCGTCTTGATCACTGCTAACAAACTAGGAACCTGATGCGCTCTTCGAGACAATTTCTCAGGCGCTATTGTGTGCTGTTGATAGAGATGCCTTGTCCGGCTGGGGTGCACATGTGTACATTATTGAAAAGGGGAAGATTACCAAGAGATTACTAAAGGGCCGCCAGGATTAAAGCATGTACGAATAGATATTCAAAGACTTTTATATTCTACCAAATGTGCCACTGTCTATGTCCAGGTCATCATAGTCTATGTTTATAGGTTCTTCTTGGCCTCTTTCTTGGCCACAGGAGTGATCTTCTGCATGAAATACTGGCGTTCAATGAACTTGAGAACCTCGTCGAGAAGACTGGACAAATTAGCAAACGTTTCAGCTGTAAAAAAGGACGATAAGCTTACATGACGGGGGCGCTGATGATAATTACAGCCTTCCACTCAACCCAGTTAAGAGGTAGAATAGCAAACAGAGTCTGCAGAACAGGAGTGTAGAGCAGAGCAAAGTGCAGAGCCATCGACAGGGCGATGGCGTAGACGAGCATCATGTTCTTCCACAGAGGCAGAGTCAAGAGGGACTCGCTCGAGGAAAGGGCGTTCATGGCGTTGAACATTTCAATCGTAACAAGAATGGACAGAGAAACAGTAGACCCCGCCTTGGCCATGTCGTTGGAAAACATCTGGCAACCAATCTCGGGGAACTCAGTCGAGCAGTGGTGGAAGTGTGAAAGCTGCGAGAAGCTAATCTGGGGGCCAGCTGGGTAATACATGAACCACCAAGCGTAACCAGCAACGGTGGCAAGACCGACGTATGTGCCAATGATCAGGTAGCGGAAGAATAGCCAACCACCAATCAGCTTTTCATCTCTCTTGCGGGGCTGGCGGTTCATAATGTCGTGGTCGGGGGGGTTGAACGAGAGAGCGGTAGCGGGAAGACCATCAGTGACCAGATTGACCCAGAGAAGTTGAACCGGAATCAGAGCCTCGGGCATGCCGAGGGCAGCGGTGAGGAAGATAGAGACAACCTCGCCAATGTTGGAAGAAATGAGATAACGGATGAATTGCTGGGTATTGTTATAGATGGAGCGACCTTCCTCAATGGCGACCTCAATCGTGGCAAAGTTGCTGTCGGCAAGGACCATGTCGGCAGCCAACTTGGCGACATCTGTACCAGAGCCCATGGCAACACCTATATCGGCCTTCTTTAGAGCAGGAGCATCGTTGACACCATCACCAGTCATGGCGACGACCTCACCAAGAGACTGGAGCAGATCAACCAGGCGGGACTTGTGGCCAGGCTCAACACGGGAGAACAAAGAGGCACGTTTGGCGGCCTCGAGCTGCTCGCCGGGGCTCAAATTGTCAAACTCGCGGCCAGTGTAGCTCTTGCCGGTGAGGTCTTCGTTCTCGCCAAAGACACCAATCTGTCGGCAAATGCTCTCGGCGGTGTTGCGGTTATCACCGGTGATGACGATAATGCGGATGCCAGCAGCCTTGCACTGATTGACAGACTTTGGGACTTCAGGGCGAGGAGGGTCGAGCATACCGATGAGGCCGAGGAAAGTCATCTCTTGCTCTAGTTCAGCGTACTGCTCAGTAGTCTTGGCAGTAGAGGCGAGACGGTTCTTAGAGACATCATCGATGCTGGCAAGGGCAATAATGCGCATGCCACGGTTACCATAGTCGACAACTTCCTTCATCAGGACCTCGGAAATCTTGCTGGTAAGGGGAACACGCTTGCCGTCGGCACCAACAGTGGCCTGAGTGCAGCGATCAATAATGGACTCGGGAGCACCCTTGACGAGAAGCTTCTTCTTCTTGCCGTCGGCGACAATGACAGACATACTCTTGCGATCGCGAGAGAATTCGAACGTGGAAAGAACAGGAAGGGCCTCTTCAAAATTGGTGCTAGCGTAGTGAAGAGCCTCATGGACATCAGTACCGGCGGGAGCCACGGGGCCAAGCTTCTCAACGAGGACGCGGAGAGCACCTTCAGTGGGCTCGCCAACACTAGAGTATTGACCAGTCTTCTCGTCGTAGGCCAAGTGGGCATTATTGCAGAGAGCACCGACCTCGGCCATTTGCTGAATGGTGCTCGATTTCTCAGTCAGGTTGTTGACGACTTTGCCATTGCTTCGGATATCTCCCTTGGGGGAGAAGGTAGTGCCCTCAACATCGAGCTCTACGAGATCTTTACCAGCATCGGTGAGGTAGACGATCTTGTTGACGCTCATCTGGTTGGTAGTGAGGGTTCCAGTCTTGTCAGAGCAAATGACGCTGCAGCTACCGAGAGTCTCAACAGAGGGCAGGCTGCGAACAACGGCGTTCTTGGCGGCCATCTTGCGGGTACCAAGAGCGAGACAGGTGGTAATGACAACGGCGAGACCTTCGGGAATAGCAGCAACACCGAGAGAGACGGCGATCTTGAGGTAGTAAATGGCACCTTTGGTCCAGCTTCCATGGCTGGGATCATTGAAATTGGGAATGTTGATGAGCCATACAAGAATGCAAATTACGGTGATGACCTTGGCGAGGTTGTCGCCGAAGTCGTTGAGCTTCTGCTTTAGAGGCGTAGGCTCTGAGATTTGAGCAGTGATGGACTCGTGAATGTCGCCAATGGCAGTGTTGGAGCCGGTTAGCGCAACGACGGCGCGAGCGCGTCCGACGACAACGGTAGTACCGGAGAAGAGCATGTTGACTTGATCCTGGAGAACAGCCTTGTCGTCTTTGATGACGGCGGCCGCATCCTTGCCCACGCTTTCACTTTCACCGGTGAGAATGGCTTGGTCGACTGAGAAGCTGTTGCTTTCAATTGCAATGACACGGCAATCGGCGGGGATACGGTTGCCGACGGAGACGGAGATGATATCACCGGGAACCAGGTCGTCGGCCTTGACGCGCGAGACGTGGCCGCCGTTTCGAATGACGTTGGCTTCGTTGGCAGAATATTCTTGAAGGGCTGCAATGGCTTTTTCGGCGCTACTCTCTTGCGAGACACCGACAACGGCGTTGAGGATAAGAATGGTGAGGATCTGTAAATTAGCTTGGTTCGACGCTGAAAGGACAGGAGAGGACTCACAACAGCAGGGTCAACAAAGGCGCTCCAGCCGCCCTCGTCTTCAAAGAGGGCGAGTACAAAGGAAACGGCGGCAGAACCGAGCAGAATCAAGACCAGCTGGTCCTTGAACTGCTCAAGAATGAGCTCCCACAGAGGGGTGGGCGGGTCCTCGGGGATCGCTGCGATGGTCAGTACTGGCGGCGAGGATAGGACGAAGAAGAGGTTAGATGGACATACAGTTGCGACCATATTTGGAACGTAGCTCGTCAACTTGTTTGTCAGTCAGACCATCGTGGTCATTGACGTTGAAGTTGGCGAGCACCTGTTTGACGGGTGTAGCAAAGGCGCTGTCCATGGTGTCGGCGCCGCAGACGAGTCGGCGAGTCGGCGATGGTCAGCGACGGTCAACGACGGTCAACGACGGTCAGCGGCTTGGGGGATGCGTCTTGTGTGCCTCGAGATCAATTGAGATAGGGGCCTTTGACGTAAACGATTGAACCAAAGGCTGGCTGACGATGAACAAGAGAAGAAAGAATCTTCGAGATTGGAAGCGCGAGATGGACTGGCTTTGTCAGGCTGCCTGCCCCACGTGGCTGTGTAGGTATGCAGTAATAGTTTCGCGGACTTTGTCGCCCAAAAGTTGGCCCCGAGAAAACGCTGTACGTGTTCGTTTGAGGCTGGTGTTTGGCCAGTGAGGTGGCCCACACCGGGCTGCCCTGGGGCTAACCTCCGAGCGGAAAAGCGGCTGTTTGGGGTACTTCAGTGCCTGCAAAGGCCTGGACGATTGTAATAGCTGCAGCGCGGGAAGCCCCTCTCCACTTATACCACTGTCTCCAGGGCCTGCTAGAACTTGATCCAGGTTCCCCAATTCCGAAAAACCCCCGCCACCAACTCCGTCCTAACTAGCGTCCCGCCCAGAGGCGAGAGTTGAAGAGACGAGTCTATCGGCAGTAGCCGAATGATCGCAGAACAATAGTACTTTCAAGGGTTGCCATTTGTGAGATGTGGCAGTCAATGCGCCTTGCGAGATGAGGAGACGATCCTGGGTTGGGTATATTTGTACCTGATCCGAGGGCGTACCTGCATCGCTACCTGATCGATCCTACATGCAACGTCTTCCTTCCCTCGCCACGGCCTTGCCTGTCTGCACGTTTGCCCTAGACCCTCACCAGTCTCGCGCCTCAGCCAACCGACAACCCGTCGACATCAAGGCCGCCAGCTGCGTCTGCTACACCCTGCAGTCTGAGACGCGCAATTTTGGCATTTTGGCATTTTGGAGCTTTTTTGAATTCACTTTTTTCTTGGGCCAGAATGACTTCTACAGACTCTTCCATCGAGAGCTCCTCAGACAATACAAAGCCTTCCAGTGAATCGTCCCGGGAGGAGCCGTGTCAGTGCAGTTTCGATCAGTTCTGTGATCCGCAATCAATTGCATTACCAGAGTCGACTGATAGCGAGGACATCTATCAAGATACATTTTCCCAACTCAGCTCCGACGATGCAAGCCAGATTATCACATTGCAGCCCGCTCGTTGCTTTTCACGATGGATGTCCTCTCTCCGTCGACGAACAATGCAAAGGCGTCTTTTAGCTGCTGAAACGCCTGCCTTGCTCGTGGGTTTGAAAGGAAGGTCACAGCTCATTCATAGAGATTCGTCGTCCGGCTCCTCGTTTGGTTTCGTAGCCGGAGTCAAAAGTGCTACTGTAAGCATTTCGAGCACAAGGATTGCCAGGTCTACCGGACGGTCCATCCGCACGCCGCTGGGAAGATCTTCCGAAGAAAGTACAGGGCGCGTCACACCAGCAGACAGATTCTCCGTCGAGAGAGCTCTTCGTCGACGACGCATACTAGAGGAGCTCATTCAAACGGAAGAAAGCTATGTTAAAGACGTACGGCTACTGATGAATGTATACGTGACGACGTTTGCTGCCTGTCCCGGCCACGACTCGCTGCGACTAGCTATCCACCAAAACCTGACCGAAATTCTTCGTCTACATGATGAGATCTTGGGAGAGCTTCATCGCGCGGTCCCGTATTCAGAATACTCGTATGCTGATGCTCAGCCGAAAGGCCACCGACGCTGGTCAAGCGTCGATCTGAGTCGACCAGACATGCTAGCTGAGCCCCAGACTGCTGCTCAAGTTGCCAAAATCTTCTCTCAAAAGGCATGTACTCGAATGAATCTTCAAGCAGCCCTATCCTAATTGACTGCAGGTCAAGCGATTCTTTGTGTATGAAGAATACGGCGCGCGCCACGAGAACATGCTGGACAGTATGCCGGACGCGAGCCTAAGCCATCGAGGCATCGAAGCACTGGCGTCTACGCTGCACCCCATCAAACAACGCGGAATGCGAAAGTCTTCTACTCTTCATGATTTAATGATTAAAGTGTGTGCTGCGAGTATGTTTGCCTAGTCAAAGCTAACTGCGTAGCCCATACAACGCGTCTGTCGATACCCTCTCCTGTTTGCAGAGCTTCTGAAAAATACCCCTGTGTGTGACTGCCCGAACTCCCACATGGAGGTTGAGAGTTCTCTTATTCGCTTGCGCGAGGCTACTTCAATCATCAACCAAGCCACTGATGACGCAAACACCAAAGCCCGATTAGAGCAGACGTGGATTTTGCAAGACCGGCTTGCCTTTCCTGGAAGGGTAGGTTCTACGGCATGGAATGGAAGCCCGTGCTAACTCTGTAGAAACTCGATTCTTCTTCCAAAAGCCACATTCGTTCATTCGGGCAGATTCGACTCTGTGGGGTGCTACATGCCTGTTGGCAAGGATCTCGAGCCATTCACGGCATGTACATGATATGTCTGCTTTATAGAGATGTGTTCTGCCTCGCTACTGCCGGAAAAGTGGACGCAGTATACGATATCAAAGCTTGTATAAATATCCACAAAGCTAAACTGGAGGAGACAGATGATGGACGTGGTAAGTTGACTTGAGACATAAGTAGCCAGGGCTAACTGATAAGGTTTGCAATGTCATACCGCTCCTTTTTCTTGGAAATTGGTGTTTGAGTGCGATCATCAACTGTATGAGCTTATCTTGACAGCGTGTACAGCACGTGAAGAATCAGAGTGGCGGGGGCACCTGGCCAGCAGCGCCAAGGACGAAGACGAGGGCGTAGTCGATGCATACACTACTTTGGCGTTTGATATAAAAGGCTTTGGGTCCGTTTTTGGAAAGCCAGGTAATTATTCCGTAAGCCGTACACTCTCGCTCTATTAACGTATTAGGATCGGTTGCGCGGCGCATCTCGATTCATCGCGCTACTACGCTTGGAGCGAGACTTCCGCATAATCAAGTCATTTTGAAGAATACAAGTGTCAAGGATAACACGTCGACAACCTTACCGATCAATCGTTCCCAGTCTCTGCTTTCGACTCAGAAAACTCCGGTTCTCGCGCCCGATCGCAGCGAACGGGCTCGTCTGGAAGCGTTGGTGTCGGATGTCTGGAGCCGTTAGGCGCTGCCCTTTCCCGGCATGTCAATACGATCTCGGTCTGAACAGTTGATGAGGGTGTCGGCGTCTTCAGTGATGCGAAAGTTTAGTGCATCCGGGTTTGCCAATTCCATTGGTAGGAAGTCGAGCGGGCCGAAGCAACGAGCGCGATCAGATACTCTTTCAGGAGATGACGATCCCAGTGACGACGCGGACACAGACTCCAAATACAGTCTGAAACTTAGGCCGAACGAGGGCAGGTCCAAGGCGTACAGATCCAGGTCACTCAAGGCCCGTCTGGGTAGATTGGACAAGGCGTCCGAGAAAGGGGGCCGGGGTCTGTGGCGTGGCGAGCGAGACTGCAGCGGCCGCAGCCTTCGTGGCATCTTTGGGTGAGGTCTGGAACAAGAGCTAGAGCTCTCAGCAGGATGGAATTGTATACTAGCGAGTAGCAATAGCAATAGCACGCCGGGAGCGGGTATTATTCGCGGCTTCTTCTACCGTTTTCTACCAAGAAAATGTGGCTGTACCTGACAGGGGTCTGCTAGTTGGTTTACCTCGTCCCTGGCTGGCAAATGAGGGTAAAGTGAGGGTGATGACGTTGTTTGCAATATTTTACTGAGGCGGTACCTACCCATCATTGGCGGGGTCGTCTTGTGGCCAAGAAAGTACCCATGAAAAGTATTTTTCGGGCCAAAATAGGTGTAGGTGTACTTGTCCCGATGCAGCGTTAACATCTCAGGGTCCCCACCATAGCAATCACGATGACGTCGACGCTTGGAAGCAGCTCCCCCGCTTCAAGAAGCTTGCAGCTCTATAAATGCATGTGTTGCCGGCCGATTGACTAACTTTTCATCCTATTCATCAACTTCATCCCTTTCTATCTGCAGTGTGAATCGTACCATCAACTCGCACATCAATCTTCCGAATTTTAAGCACCAAACAACCCTCCTAATTACACTACAGCGCATCACGCGACTTCATCACCACCACAAAACTGTCAATATGACTCGCGGCGAAACTGTCCAGACCAAGTGCCATTACAAGGGCAACACTGATGATTTCATCATCTTCATTGACGACGTCGAGACCTACAACAAGTGGAAGACGGACAAGAGTATTCCCATGGCTCACTTCATCTCTTCCTTCAAGATTTTCCTCACCAATAAGTAAGACTTGAGAGTCTGGCCGCACCGCGTACTATTTGCTGACTTTTCGTTCTCAGACATGGTGCCCAGGGCCAACTCGATGCGGCCCCCAAAAACATTCTTGCGACCGAGTTTGATACGGAAGATGAGGATGAGGTGATTAAGAAGATTCTTGAGAAGGGCAACATACAGCAATCAGAGGTAAGACGACGGCGGAACACGAGCGCATGCGATGATGAGCTGACCATATTTGTGACAGATGCCCGCGCGCCAGGGACCCAAGAATGACTCCATGAGCTCCATGAACGCGAAGTAGTGTGAAATTAAGGAATGGAGATACTCAGTAGCCTGGGCTCTGCATGGAGATGCGTTTTTTTGGTCGTGTTATTACATGAGAGTCGACGGATGAATGTATTTTTAGAATGATTGCGCATTTAGCCGCGTGAGAAGCGTGTGAGACGTTTGTGCTCCCAGGTAGCCATTTTCGAGAAATCAAATTAGCGAATAGGTTGACAAAAGGTCCGATTTGAGATGAAGTACATGTCAAGTAATTAAGTATGTGGCCAGGCCATACTGGTACACTGATGTTGAGCGCGTGACTGTGGTGCGACAGAACTGAGGCAGGGTTTGTTTCAACTAGGCGCCGAAACCGAGGCTGGCACGATTGATCCGAGGTGGGTAATAGAGACTGCGTGTCAGTCACCATGTCGCATGGTAAAAATGCAGAGTGGGAAATTAGACGAGATTGAAGAGATGTGGGCAAGAGTTGGTTTGTTGACCTCCAGGTCTAAAGCTACCTATACACTGCTTGCAGAAGCGCCCGTCTACAGAAACCCCCAAGACTCGACAAGATTTGTCCGCTATCCACCGAAAAATAAAACGCCCAAAAAATGCAGCAATCCTGCGTCGGTGTGATAATCAGCCAGGCAATTGTTATAGAGTTATAAGAAGATATTGAAAGTTCGAAAAAAAAATAAAAAGACATTATGCTCGTGAGAGGCCATTGCGTGGCATGCGCTGAGGTAGCGTCCACGGTTTGGCACATATTATCTGCCAAGCATGTTAGTCAATTTTGGTGCGCAACGAGTCGCTAAGCGGGAAAGGAGAGAAAGAAAAAGAAAAAAAAAGGGTAACGCACCTCGCCTTCGCTATATGCCCAGAAATATACGGCCATGCCAATCAGGTAGTAAATGGCCGGGTTGGTGGACTGGTACATGAGAACCGAGGTCAGGATGGTGAGAGGCAGGAAGATGAGGCGGAACTCGAGTGAACGGTGCAGGCTGGTGCCGGCGACGGCGCCGAGTGGCCACTCGAGAGCCAGCATGCCGAGACCGAAGAAGAGGTTGAGGAGCTGCAGGACGGGGATGGGCTTTACGGCGCCGTCGAGGTTTTTGGTGGCAAAGTCCCAAAAGATCTTGGGCCAGAAGAAGCCTTCGACAGCGGCGGCGACTTGATCTATTGTCAAGTGTTAGTAGGGGGGTTCGCAAAGAAATGATTTGGTGTGGAAAAAAAACTTGCAAGTTGCGGCCGTCATCATAATGAGGCGTGCCCAGTGGTTCTTGATGAGTCTGCCCATGATTGCCTGGTACCCTTCAAAACTGCAATTCTAGATTTGCCAACGAGATCAAAGAAAGACGACGTGAGATTTGACTATTCCGGCAACAGACACGAGATGAATTGCAATTGAACAAGGGGCCAGCCCAAAACGAATCAAGAATCCAAAGCGCAAAGGGAAGGAAAACGAAAGCCCGCTCTGCGGTATTCGACACTGAATCTTTCAGACGATGTTGAAAGAACAGATGAAGAAGGAGAGTGGGCTTTTTTTTCCGATCTGGGTATCCCAAGACTCTTATTAGAGACGATTCAAGGACCAAACTATAAAACCCCAAAGTGGGATTTGGTAATATTGGGTTCTTCTTTTCTTTTTTTTTTTTGACGTTTGAGATTTTGACACTGGCGCGGTTCCCCGGCAATAGTCGAAGCCGGAACTGACGGAATGGGTTGTAACCGGGGGGGGAGGAGACAACTAGACGAGCGGGGGGTGATGGCTGGCTGGCGGTAGGCAAAGAGGTATTGGAAAGGATGAAAGACCCGCCCCTACGTAGGGCGAGGGTCTAGAGACGTATCAGGACGACACGAGAGAGGCTGTCCCGGCGTCGACGGGTTTATGCGTAGGCGGCGAGGAGGTGCCCTGGTGGTGGAGTGGTGGTGATGGCGAAGTCGTCTCAGGATAGCAGACATGTATGCGACGGTCTGGGCATTTGCCGTTGCTTTTGTGTTTGGTGATCAGGGGGGAAAAAAAAGGTTTTACTGGTATCGTAGCAATTCAAAAGCAGAAATCTCTAATTCCTTTTGGGATGAGTCGAGAAAAATTGTACTGCGTGCGAGATTTCGATTGCGCCAGGAAGAGAGAAGGCGGGTCGAACGGCAGCGAGCGGGGAGAGTGAGAGAGAGAGAGAGAGAGAGAGAGAGAGAGAGAGAGAGAGATGACGTGGGAGCGGTGGGGGTTCGAC